TTTTTTTTTTTTTTTGTTGAAAACCTCGATAGATGGTGTTGAATTGGCAGAAACGGCCAGAAGGAGAAATATGTAGAAATTAGAACCCTACTTTTAATAGTGGCGGTCTAGTTTCGTGAAGTAGAAGGGAGTTATTAGCACTGCTGGTCTGTGCATTCATACGTCTTTCTTAAACATGATTGTTTTTTAAGTTTTACAGTTAATGGAAGTTTTTTTCGACAATTACATCGTCTTTTAGACAAAGATAATTGTACTCTTAGAACGGTGTCTCACCAGGATGTATCTAATTCTATTACTTATTTGGCTGATTATTTTCGACAGCGTCTATATTGTGTTAAATCGTTAGGTTTTTTGGATAACATTTTTTCCGTTTGTTTGTTTGTTTGTTTGTTTGTTTTTTTGTTTGTCTGATTGCTTGTTCGATTTTTCGTGGTTTTAATTACTGCTCTCAATCTGTTTGCAGAAATGAGAGATGTGGAATGAGAATGACTATTGTTTCCCAGAGAGAGAAGCTCGATTTAGGCCTGTATGGTCTCATCGTCCTCATAGGCCACCGTTCGTTGCACCATACAATCGGCCGAGAGAAATAGCTTCATTTATGAAACCGGAGATGAGTGGGATTGTGGGCATGGGGATGGTTCCATTGTTTTCAAGGATGCCCGAATTAACAACTCCACATGCTGGTAATAGCTCAATTTTCGTGTATTAGAGACCATAACCTTACAGTATTAAACTTATATTTTACTATACCACCTGTTTACATCATGTTTTGGGTAGTCGAAACAGTAAGGTTTTTTGCAAGCACGTTCTAGTGTAGTTTTTATTCTTGCTCTCATCGTTTCCTTTTGTGCAGTTTGAAATGAGCGATCTCATCCAGTGAAATTTCTTGAAGGGTATTTGATAATAGATGGCGTTTGACAGCGTGATTAATGCTGATTTAAAAGTTCATTCTACATTTTGAAATCTTGTCTCATTCCATCCCGCCTTAGTTTGTTGCGGGTTTTTTTTACCAACTATTGGTGATTACTCTTAGTTGCATTGGATAAGGTTAAGTTGGAAAGCCGCATCAGAAGTTGGCCACTCTGCATGCAGTGCTCGATGTAAAAAAATGTGGGATGTTAAACTTTTGCTGCGCTCAGGTCGGATTGCACTTATTTAATAGTGAAAGTGAAGTGTTATTTTTATTTACATTTTGTAACGCAGTAGTAAATACTGAGCAGAGCTCAACGGTTTCTGCTTCTAAAATGGCTTTAAAGTTAAAGGCAACTTTTTCGATGATAAACGTGTATGAGTTTGAAAGTTAGAGAGGATGAGCTGGCATACAGTTTGAAAATTCACTGTGGGTATTAAGCTAACAAAATCGTTTGTTTTTTAAAGATGTTGATCAGTTGACAGTTACTCTTGTTTGTGAACCATGTTTGATTATGAAGAATAAACGCTGCATAGGAGTTGAAAATAAGTTTGATACTGAAAGTGGCCCTCTAAAACCATTTGGGGTTATGCTTACTATATCACCTAGTTACGCCAGCAGTTTGGTGACTTAAATGCATTACAGTTTTATAAAAAATTGTAAATCCCTTCCATCATACTAGAGTCTTGAATGAAGTAGCGTGGTAGTAGGTTAGAGGGGGAGGAAATGATTTCATCAATGAAAGCAGAATGTTAGTTTGAAATTTCTTTACCTTGAGTTCCTCTGCAGTTTCATTCTTGGTTTTTTTTTTTTATGTCCAAAGATTTTGCGAAAGGGAGGTGTATTCTGATTGGGAGACAGCCGAAAATTAAGGGTTCCATGAGTTTGAACTGGTGACATTTGCAGTTTATGAGGGTTTCAGTATGTTGCCATATAGGGTACAGGAAGACTAGGAGCGTCCAAATTGCGTTTTGAGTGAGGTGACTTTCCTCTAGTCCAAGATACAGCAGTATAAAAACCGTCTCAAAACCTATACTTTTAATTAGTGATCCGGATGTCAGGATCGTTTAAAGTAGGATATTAGTGCTGCAAATTTACGATGTAGCTATTTATTTTCGTATGTTTCGTAATTGTAGCTGCCCAACGGCCATTGCCTCCAGCACGTCCAGCTCATTCACCTTTGTATCAAGACTTCTCAGCACCGGCGCGGCCATTAGCTGTAACAATGAACATCCAGACGTCAGCTCTAAAATGTCTGATCGAATGGAAGCCACCTAATTTGCCAAGTAAGTACTTGGTTTTTTTAGCGGCAGGAGTAACGGATTTTTTTTATGTCACTAGCCGGTTCTTTTTTAGAGACAGTGAAATATACTTATAAACTTGAAGTTTGGGAAGGTCTTCAGTATGAAAAACATGATTTACCTTCACATACAGTTTCTTTCACACTTAAGACAGTCCCCGGATCTTGGTTCAAAGTAAGTGCTTTTTAACAAATTTATTTTTTTACTTAAATGTTTGTCCTGAGCGAACGTTTTAAGTTTATAATAATATATATTGGTGCCTTAGAAGAACTTGTCAGTATAATTAAGGCTGAACTGAGGTGCGTGGATAAATCCGATACGGTTCTTGCAATCGGTAGAGCTCGATTCAAGGCCGGTAGGTCGCATAATTAATGCTAATCGCACACTCTTGGTAATTATAAGAGATTTTTTTTTTGGGGAACTTTCTTTCCAGTTTTCTCACACGATGAGATGCAAATGTTGTACAAGAAGGCGTTGGATTTTGTGGGGACCGCTATGCATTCTTTTCATGTACTATATCGTTGTAAACCAAAAATATACTACGATGACATTCATGTACGTTTCCGATAGTAGCTGGCTTTGCTTTAACAGATCCTTTCGTTAAAGATGTGCTTCAAGCTGAGGATCACCTATTTTTTTTTTATTTTTTCCTTGAGCACAGTAACTGTTTGCTGCCTATTTCTTATATAACTCAAGAGAGTTTGTGGTGTCTTCTACCGTTATTTTGATAAAGCACGTTCGAAAGTGGCTCACTGTTTAAATATTTCTAATTTTGGTTTAGCAGCATATGTATATCAGTTTCTTTTCAGTTCCGGTGCGGAGGTATCATGGAAAAATATTTGAAAGATAATAATGGGCAAGCAGCGTCTTCAATCAATGGTGCCATAAGCGGTCTGTTCATTTTCTTTTACGTTGAGGAATTGATCTGCGTAGTTGTGCTTAATGTTTTCCTAAATTTATAATTTCTATCTTAGTGTTATATTCAAGGGTTATTTTTTTCTGCACGACTGTCGCCGGATGGCTCACTACCAACTCACTCCCCCTTTGGTAATTTGCGCATGCGGATTCAGGCATTTCATCTACTTGATCCAGCAAGAATTAACATGTATTTCAGTGACTTCTATTGCAATTACATTACTCATTATGTCACGGTTGTTATTTGTGAAAAACACTCAGAGGTTACATTTCCGTTTTCATTTACTGTCCAACGATTGGAACCTGTGTACTTGGGGTGGTTATGGATCAATATTTTCAGACGGACATGTTCTGTATGCAGAGGCTCATAAAGCTCGCTCCAGATTCAAATCCATTTTTAAAAATTGTGATCAGACCTCCTTTATTTGAACCAGAATTTTGGGTTAACAAAAATGTATGGGTTGAAATTTATTATACAGAAAATGTCCCGCTATCGTTAGGAACATTTGATACTATCATAGCAACAGGTGCTGGAACGTCGCGAGTTGGGGGCTTACCGCACAATAAGGTATTGCGATTCCTCATAATTTTTTTGAGAACTGGTAACTTGCAAGCTAGTTTTGTACTTCTTTTTATTTGTTTTGCAAGCAAGGCACTGTTTTGATGTAGAATTTATCGAATGAAAGGGCAGTGAAGGAATAATTTGTTGTAATATTACTTAAGGGTTGCTTACCTATCACTCGTTTTTTATGTAATTCTGCCCAGAGAGTTATCGTAATTTTTTCAGCAGTGTCAATTATGTAACTTGTACCCGCAAAAGCCATCATCTGCGTCATCAAAGTCCCAGTTGGGTTCGAAATTGAACTCTACTTTTCAGTTACTATTAAGCCTGGGAAAGAAGGATCTCGGCTCTGATTCAGTCGATGACTGTGCCGACATTATAGAAACTATATGTGCTTTAGTAGATGCAGTTGTTGATCAGACTGAGCGTGAGAAAACGTTTGAAATGGAGGTAAGCTAGACCTTTTGACTTTACTCTTTTAATTGGTGATTCTGAAGGTGAAAAAATGAGCAGTTTTCCTTCGATATTTTAAGTTTGAAGCACCTTTTTTGTCTTGATTTCGTTTTCTTTTTTAAAGAAGAATGACCAGCAAGCCATGAAGAGTAAACAGCTAGAACCTGCCTTTGAAGTAGTTGCGAAGCTGGTTGAAAAATCAGTGTGCGAGGAAATGAAGGAGACGGTCAACCTTTTAAAGAAGGTGGCGAGTAATTTAGACAAGTATTTTGAGTTTGTCGGCAAAGCACTCGAAGACACTAAACAAGCATTGCTCGCCAATGGATTAGTAGCTTCCTAAGCTTTTCAATTTTCCTATCACCAATTATGGGAACCATAGCTTTGTACATTGACGACTTTTGTAACTAATCTCGTACTTTGCACTTTGCTCAGCAGCACACTTGTTGATTACTTTTGGTCTCCATCTTTATCTCTACTTACTGTTTTCTTGAACTTGAGCTTTTAGCCTCCTACATATAATATTAGTGACTTTTGTCACTAACTTGGTTATGGACTCTAGGGAGGACGGAACTCGGCCAGTAAAGTATAGTCTCTTGATATGCCCTTTTCAGTTCTATTGTTGAACACGAATTTCTGGTAGGTCATAAGGTTCTCAATTCTTAGTGCACTAGGGACATACGGGTCCTGTACTTCCGGGTTATGTATATATCTAACTTGTTTTTATTTAGAATGTTGAATGTGAGTGCTAAACTGTTATTGTTGTCAAAAATCGCTGTACTGTGTGCTTTATTGTTATCTTTGTTTTAATAAATTGAAAAATTTAATTATTACCCATATACTCCTCACTCTGCCAAATAGATGTTTCAGCCAACATTTTATAAGGATAATGAGGGGCTGCAAAGGCACATGGAAAAAGAAAAGAAATTTCAATATCACCAAATTCGGTTATAAAGCAGGCAACTGTTATTGAGATGTTGCAACAGATTGGTAGTGGAGTGCACGAGATACGACTTATCAGAGAAGTATTGAGGATGTGCCGTAGTAATCGATGGAGGAGTGGCTTTGCTCCATTATTACAACCCTCAGCAGCAGATTAGAAAAGAGGGGTTCTTTTGCTAGCTGTAGCGCTATGGGGCGTGAGAAAACACCTGGAGTAATTGCAGTTGAGCGAGCTTTATCCTTTTCCTGCTCTAACAGAAGATTTTATGAAGGCAAGTCGAAGAGTTTTTTGCATTTGAAAGACGGCGGTGACTAGACAAAAGATATTTTTTGATTTTTCAGGCAGGATGAGGGAGATTTGAGAAAACTAGTACACATGAAAAACCAATTTTACCTCAGTAAGATAAACGCTTACATGGAGATTAGTAGAACGTGACAACAATGCCCCAGTGGTCACTTGGAAAACATAGACTTGACCGAATCCTTTTCTTTCCTTCTAGAGCAAAATCAACCGACGAGAACGCTCCATTGCTAAGATAAAGCTAATTTAAACCAAAATTGTAAATCTACAGATAAACGCCAAAGTTTGAATACAAACAAAAGAAACAAACCACTTGTAAAAAATCCTGTCAAAACGGCATCTAGGACCTGGAGGGACTGATTTGTTATCATTCTTTAATGTGTCCCACGTAAACTTCATATTCTTATTAGAACCGCTAGATACCCACGCATCTTGAAATCCTTCGGGAATGTCTTTGACCTAAACCGAAGAACTGAAAAAATACTCACAGGAATTAAATGTTATCGCGACAGTTGGAAAAGGTAAGTCAATATGAACCTTAAATGTACAATAGTAGACAACAAAAACTAGAATATTATATTACTTTCTTTATTTGAAGCGACTGAGTTTTAGCGTTTCGCAGCCTTCACCTAAGTATTGTTTCTAAAGCACCCAGTAATAAATACAAAGGAACCTCTTTGTCACGTAAGTTAAGATCACCACCAAACACAACAAATGTTTCGCCATCATCCCAACATGATAACTGATCAAAACATTCCTTCAACTGTATCGTTCTTGTATCGCTAAAATCCGCACCACTTTCAAGATGAGTATTTAAGAGTCGCAACTTCTTCCCTCCAATATACGCCTGAAATATGCGCTATAACAAGCGTACATATACGAAGAAAATCAAAAATGAGGTTTTAAAGATATTATAAAAATGCAACTTAACTCTACAGTTTCCATGGAACGACCCATCGAAGTATGTGCGTAAGGAACACATGCGTGACTAACATAATCGACAGTTGGCTTCAGTAAGATTCCAGTAAAGTATTCCTGGTTAGGAGAAGCTAAAAGGACACTGTACTCCCCACCAAGATTTTCCCTCAGCAACTTTGAGAGCGGAGGAGTTATCTCCTGGAGAAATACCACATCAGGGCTAATCCTTAAATACCTAAGGTAAGCATTAACGTTTACTAAACCAGCTTAGATGAATTTCTGTGAAGAGCCAATTCGGAATAAGTTCAACAACTGTAAGCCCACTACAGTGTTGGTTGTCAACAAAAGTTTCATCAGAGTAGTATTAGATTTCAAACCGAAGGAATTCTTTTCATTACTTG